TACATATACTATATATATATATATATATATATATATATATATATATATATATATATATATATATATATATATATATATATATATATATATATATATATATATATATATATATATATGTGTGTGTATATATATGTATATATATATATATGTAGATAAATGTATATATGTAAAATCCTGCCTCACACCTGTTGAGACCATTGGTCCAGATACGCATGTGTAACCTCCCCAGAGCCTTTGATGTGCGTGCCTGGTTTGATGAGCATGTCGTCGGTGGGTACTACAGCCACTCGAGGACGCGTGTATGGGAAGGTGTCGCGCAGGTGCACTGCTACGGGAATATTATACGTAGAACCTGTATAGATAGGTAAATTCACGTGTTAAAATAGAGAATGTGCATCTAAGATTGTATTTGTACAAAAAAAGGCAGATATATATATATATTCTATGCATACCTCTGTAATCCACATCCAGAGTTCCAGTCAACGCCAACACTACCTTCAGGCGCCCATCGGTATCGCGCACCTGCTGTGGTGCAACAGAGAGCCCCGAATGCACAGCCAGGACATCCTGTATTTGTGTTTTGACCTCGATTCCATAGATGAACTGTAGCGGAGAATTAAGAGATCCCAGGGCTAGATGAGAAATATATTAAACCAACCAAGAGCATGTGTGACATTTGCAAAACGTATAGATAATCTTTTACAAAAGTTGTCAACGCTGTCTAGCCACATTGAACACACAAAACTCAGCAAAGCGTATGTGAATGTCAATCCAAGAGCATACTGATGGACTATATATAGCACCATTTGTAAATGTACGCCCAATCGACTTCAGATAGTCAAACACAATCATACGCGTCTACAGACCCGCTACAAATACCAGACTCGAAAATACAAAGGAAAGACTAAGACTGATATAATCACATGAGTTAAAAACTCACCGTGCGATCAATAAACATACATATGCAGACTACAACAGAAAGTTAAATTAGTATGAAGGTACGCATGTCCATCCATACAGCAGATGCTAAACATATCCATCCATACAGTACATGTCACAATATATATTATATATATATT